GATTTTTGGTAGCCTCAAATATAGAAGGCAATCAAAGACTTTGTACAACCATGAGACTTTTTTTTAAGATGAAAAACTCTTCTTCATCAACTTAGTAGACTTCTTTAGCAATTATCTATTCCAAAAAAATCATGGTTTTATGTTTCTATGGATTTTATGACAAATCTTTTAATCTTAAATTCTTATATTTTTATATTTGTGATAGTAGATTATTTTATCAAGATTGCATATTTTATATTATATACAAGTTATATCAAAAGTTAAGAAATAGTTAAGTTTTTTTTTTATAACATATATTGCTATTATAAATTTGTAATGGATATTATATCAAATAGAGAAATGCAAGTTGTATTAAGATTTTAAAAAATTCTTTTGTAGATTCTGAAGGTAGACTTAAAACAATCTTTGACATTTTATCTTCAAATTAATAGATAAATAATATAATTGAATCAACTTTAGTATAATATTCTAAATGTACCATCAACTATCAATAAGATGATTTGATAACTCTTTTCTCATTTACAAAGTTTGCTTATATTAACATGGTACATTTTCTATTCAACAATTATTTTTCTTTATCAATTATGGTTACCATTCCAAACTTGATACTTTTGACTTTTGGAAAGTTGATAATCTTGTTGCAAAAGGTTTAGCAAATTATTTATTAGAATTATATGCAAAAATAAAGGCACAACTTAAAAAAACTTGAGAATAACAAAATATCAATGCAGATGCTTATTCCAAGGAACAACCTTATTTCCATATTAGCAATATAATATAATTACCTTATTGTAATATCAAGACTATTTATCCTTATAATCAATAGGATTACCATAGATTTAAACCATTTCTTATGTATAAATAAATTAATTCAATTGCTTATCAATTATACCTACTAAAATTTATAAAGATCCATCTTATATTCTATGTGTATCTTTCTGAGCCATATAAGATAATAGATATATCAAGAAGATAACAAATACCACTTCTTCTTATAGAATTGAATAATAACCAAAAGTTTGAAGTTGAAGAAGTCTTAAACTCAAGGGAGCATCAAAATAGGTTACAATTTCTTATTTATTGGTACAAATATGATATTTATAAAATCACATAAAAGCTAGCCAAGAAACTTGCAAATGCAACAAAAAAGGTTGATATTTTTATATTGACAACATCCATCAAAATTAAGATAAAAGATAACAAATCTTTGTAATAAAATAAATGTGGTTCAAAAAAGATTACATTCTATCTTTTACTTTATAATTTTTATATATTAATCATGTTAAAGACATGAAGAATTAATAATTAGTAATTTCAACTTATGAGCTATTATTTGTTGAGTTACTAAATAAGACATTTTGACTATCAGAATCTTTAAGGTAGCATAATTGAGATGAAGACTCTTTAGTATGACATAAACTTCTTTGAATAGATAGTGAAACACAACGTATTTGATATCACAACCTTGGAAGAAACTTCCAATGCTTCATAATATTATTAGAAGTAGGAATTATTTCTAATGGTATTTTTAATGTTTTATTTAAAGGGAGTTACAAAGGCCTCAATAATGATCAAATAATAGAGTAGTCTTCTTTTTCTAGTATGAGACACTATCATTAGTTGAGAAGACCTATCAACCACTTTCAAAGGAAACAAATATCAAAATATGTGACAAATATAATCTGTCACATATTAGACTTTTTCAATATGTGATCACCACTTTTAGTAGAACTTATACCTAAAAGGAGGCATAATGTCATGGACATACATATTTACTTAAATAAGCATTAGATAGAAAATAAATATAAGTAAATTTAATATTATCTTATAGCAAAGCTTTTTAGAAGCTTCATAAATACATATTTGATTTTAGACTTGTTTGTAGTTGATTAATAGGTTAGAAATTTAGCCAACAAGTTAGCCATATGTTGTATATATTAGTTGTTTATGGAACAAGCTAACTACATGGTACACATATACAAAACTTATCTTATAAGTTAAACACATGTCTTGCAAGTTGGACACATGTTGGAAATCTTAAAAAACATTGTAATATAGCTTCTAATTAGATAGTATATATGGAGGCAAGAGTGAAGCCTTCTTCACTCTTATTAATGCTTTTTTACTTTTTAGTCTTATTTCAAGACTTTCTAGTCTTTTTATATTTAACAATAGTTATTTTAGTTTTAATACTATATTAATTTTGAATGAATATCTATTCTTTTTGAGTTACAAACAAGTGTATTGAGTTTTTGGTTCTTCAAGATTCATATCCTTGAATTTTTTTTTTAGAATAAGTTTCTAAATTTAATACTATATGACCAACTTATAATACAAGTAGCTAAATATATAACATGTGGCTAGCTTATTGATTAAGTTCTTAACCTACTTAATTCTTATAAACACATCTAAAGTCTACAAAGCTTCTTAAAAACTTTGTAACAAGATATTAAAATTTTAAGTTACTTTTATTTATTTCTATATAATTTTAATTATCAAGATAAATTAATTAATAAATTTAGCTATTTATTACATTTATAGTGATGTTAAATTTACAAAAAAAAATTCAAGTGATTTTTAGATGATAATGGTAAATGAAACTATTATCTACAATAGTATCTTTACATATTTTATAATTTAAATATAATATTTTATTTTTGATTTTATAATTAGTATGGACTACCACTTAGATTTTTTATAAATTTTGGTAAATTTTTTATTCTTTGGATTAGATCTCAAAATATATTAGTGAATTTATAAACATGTAGATAACAATTTAATCTACTTCAATAGTTATCTAGAGTACATGATACAAGTAAAAATGCAATAATACAAGTTAAATAATATGGATAAATAGTATATTAAGTGTATTATTAAAAATATTAAATATAGATATAAACTTAAATCTACTTAACTTAGTTTAATCTTTTTTACACAAACATATACTTTAGCCTTATCGAATTCTTATAACTTTATTATATAGTTATAAATTTTAATGTAATTTAGAATTGGATATTCTAACTAAAGCATAAAATAAAATAATATAAAATTATCAATAACCATAAAAAAATATGCATATTGAGTAATAAAATCAATCAAATTTGTAGTTGTATTAGTCTTGTATGTAGGTGTAAAATCTCTTATATTATATATATGCTTATAAAAAAATTTAATAGATACTTAAAAATATAAGTCTATTAAATAATTAGAAATTAATTCAAATATCTTTTTGAAAAGAAAAAAAAAAAAAAAAAAAAAAAAAAACTTTTTGTAATAAAAAAGGATGTCAAAGAACAAAATAGAAATATTATTTCATGGCCTAATTATCAATTATATTATAAAGCACTGTAAAATATATATATATATATATATATATGCTTAGAATAGATATAAATATTTAAGAAAAATACATATATTATATAAAAAAAATAAGTTCTAATTAAGAAGGTTTTTATTTTTATTTTATGATTATCTTATTTACTTGTATTTTTCTCACAAAATACAAATGTACTAGTATAGTCTTGATTCAAAAATCTAATGCTATAGAAATTAGTATACAATAATAAAAGCATTAAAATCGAAAGTTACTATATTGTCTTTTATTGCTATATAAACATATTTACTATCTTACAATACTATCACATATATGTAAGCTAATTGTCAAGATTTTCTTTGTTGAAATGGTTCTTAATCTTAAAGCAATTGTACACCAAGCCAAAACTTTAATATAGTCAATTTTTGGCATTGTTTAATGAACAATTCTTCTCTAGTGTCAAACTAGATAATTAATTTTAGATGAAATATTTTTTAAAATTAAAAAAAATTATAAGTTTTTAATTTAAAAATCTTATTACACTATTATTATAAGAAATTCAACCATCTAAAAAATATATAAAGACTAAGTAAGACTACTTCAAATTATAAATGTGTGTATATATATATATATATATATATATATTAGCCCTTGAGTTGTAAAGATTTGAAATACAATACTAGACACTAAGAACTATTTCAGTAGCTTATTAACATGTGTAGGGAGCTGTAAGCTATCCATAAACTTGTGTGAGACACTTGAAAAAAATATAATAATACCAAATTATATAAATCTTCAATGTCATCAATAACTCTTTTATTACTTCAATGGGGTGCCAATTGCAATTATATATATAATTTGAGTACCTTCTAAGGCTTAGTTAATATTGTGGTACTATGATGTTATTGCACAAACTTTCTATTACTAGTAAAAGAGAGAGAGTGGAGATCTCTATGAATACATTTAAGTACCTAAAGAACTCTCTTATGCGCTGCTCAATGTCTTGTTTTTACTATGGTGCCACTACTCGTTACTATAGTAATTTCTACCAATGTGACTTTAGTTGATAAATTTGCTGATGTTACCACTAGCACTAAAAATATAGAAATATAAATTTCTTGATCTCATTCAATTGTGACACTCAACATATACATTTGATATGAGTTTCTACAAAATATTAGAAAACAAGTCTTTAGTTGCATTAAATGTTAAAAAATAACAACTATGTCTTAATGTAGATAAAATATAAATATATAGATCTTGCATCTTTTCTTGTTTTTCTTAATTTTTTTAAAAAACTTAATTTTTCTTAATTTTCTTAAAAACTTAATTTACTAATAATTTTTTATAATTTATTTTCTTGATTATGTTTAAATATAATATAAATTTTTATTGATATTATATATATATATATATATATATATATTCTTCTTAATAGATAAGCCATGCCAATAACTTGTCTTATATATAATTGAATAGTAAAGTAGAGTATTCTAAAGTTTGATTATTTAGAAAGTTTTTATTTTTCCATATGATTTGAATAAAAATATTTTTTCTTTTATTTATTGAATAATTATTAATTTTTCTCTATTTTGATCTATCTAAATAGACAATACAAAAAAAATTGCAAGTAAATCAAACAAAATAAATTAGTTTGAAACCAATTCAAACCACTACTATCTTGATGTAGAATGTGATATTTCTTGTCAATGTCATGATCATTGTGAAAAAGACCATAGCAACTCTTTTATATAAAGAAAGAAAGAAAATGTACACACCGGTCCGAAACCAGAACCAACTAATGTGCGTTCACACTGGAAGGTAGCAGTATCAGCCAGAGCATTCTAAGGCAAACCCGACGGGGCATTGCAGCAGATTCTTGAGCTTCTTTCCAAGTATCCGCTTTGATGTCTTGGCATTCTATCCCTCACAAATGACGAACAATCCTTTACAGAGCTGCCAACGCTTTTAAGTTGATAGGGTATGCCATAGTCGTATTGCCGGTGATCAACAAGTCGGCGAGGATAGATACCACATGCTCTGTTGGGTGCGCCCAATCCCAGAATTGGGACTTGTAGGGGCGGCTGCACAGATCTTGTGTAGCGCCGAGTTGAACTTGGGCGCTCATCGACACAACCTGCCATGGCCAAGTAGGCTAATTGTCAGTGGGACTAGTCACGACACATTGAGTTAGCGGAATTGTCACCACCAAGATTCACAATTGAAGCACGCAGATGACTTAATGGAAACTTAGAGGTCCCAGAAACGAGGAATGGACTCACATGACGATCTTCGCTGGTGGATTCTAGGAGCCCGCTCCCGCCTGAGGCGAAGTTGACCCCTTTGATGAAGGAAGCGTGAGGCTGCAAGAAAGGTGGTGCAAATGGGAGCTCCAATTTTTGAGCTGTTTCAACAGTAAAAAGCATCAGGACTTTGCCTTTTGATGCATACAACTAACAAGCTAAATCTCTAGTAGTACGATTATCGAGATAGCAGAGATTGAACTCCACAAAAACGGTCATGATGTGCAAAAAATTGATCAAACCTTCTGCTAATACTAACTACAGCTCCGGAGCTCACATATAAAATCGACAATGGTGCGGCCATTTGTGAATCGTCCTGTGGGTTTCCAGAAGAACGTCTTGCCGTAAGGTGGAAAGTCGGCTCTGACTGTGACTTGGGGAATGAAAGTGTTGGTTCCGGCATCAGCTAATGAATCACCAAATACAAAAATCGCAGGTACGTGAAGTTCCTTGTGCTCTCTACTGGCGTCTACCGAAATCACCGAAAGTGCAGTCAACACCATAGCAGCAAAAACCTAAACAGCTTTAAAATCCATTAACTCCTACGTCCGATCACGCCCACTTCGTCAGTGCAGTACGTTCAACTCCGCCTCCACCACAGTAACCCAGTACGAATCTGCAGTACATCAGCTGGAGCAGAATCAACGTCCTAGTAGAGCTTCACAGTCGCTCCGACAACCCCTCGAAGTTGCAATCGGGTCTTCAATTCAACCTATGCGGTTTTCCAATAGCTTCAACCGAAAGCGTAAAACGATTCTCAACACATGGTCCAGTAACGGTTCGCTGATTGTACATGTCATCAGTCCTCATGAAACAGTCTCGGGACTCGGCTGTGGTTGAATCCCCGAACTCAACTGTTCCGGAGCCGCTACGAAATAGTTGAAAAAACGCAACCACGTGTTGACTATCGCAAACACCAAAGCTTCGGTGATCAACTTGGTCCGTCCGGTGGGCGAAAAAGCGTGATCGGAGAGCATTATTCAAGAAAGAATCGGAAGGAAGGGAAGGGAAGCGTAGCAGTGCTGGAAGGTGCGTGAGTGAGTGAGGCCCTGACTCTAAGTGACCCGGAGTCTCGTCGTATGCTTGCTTGATTCCTCATCCATCTCCCTAATTTCTCCATTCATTCGTTTGTTGCTGAGGTGGCACTTCTCGTTCATCCCTTGTTTGTAGAGTCGGATTCATTCATCCAGTCCAATTTTTTGTGAGACTCGTCGCCAAGTTCATGGCCACATCATTGATCTTGACATGTCATTGTTGAGTGTAAAGTATCCCCATTCGATTTGATTTTTTGTATGTTTTTCTTGGTTTTTGACACTATTTACAATTATGAAAATAAATTCAAAAATATATATAAAAAAAATCTTGTTGCAAAACATAATTAGCATTAAGGAGGTAAAATATAAAAGCCTTCTAAAAGTCTTTTGCTTTGTCAAAAAAACCCTTTTTTTGAAGTTACAATCATTGCAAAAAGTATCAAGTGAGTAAAAACCAAGAAATGGTTCAAATTCAATTTTATTAAAAACTTAAATATGATGACCTATATCTTGACTTTGTCAAATATAAAAAATATAGTATAGAATTTTTTCTTTAACTAATGGATATTCTTGACTTTGTAGCATAATAGTTTGTACATCATTTTTTTTTTTTTTTTTTTTTTTTAAATAGCTTGTTGAAGTAGACCTATGATAAATCTTAGAGAATTCTATTCATACCACATAGCAATAAAGTGCATTTCATCTCATCTTTTTAGCTAATAATTTTTTTGAATAATTTTCTTCTTACTTTTAATTAAGAGGTCAAATAGAATAATTCCTCTAAGTCTCATGATACTGTCAGTTTTGAGTTTAAGAATAATCTATTCTATTTCAAGGAATGATTATAAATTTAAAAAGGCAAAGCACAATTACATGTTCTTTAAGATTGTCATGACTTTCTAATAGCCAGACATTTTGGATACAGTAAGACTTTGGAGCTAATATCTAGAGATTTTTGGTAGCTTCAAATATAGACTACAGTCAAAGACTTTATATAATCATGTGATATTTGTTCAAGATCCAAAATTCTTTGACATCGACCTTATGGACTTCTTCGACGATTATCTACTCCGTAACAACTATGATCTTCTCTTTCTATGGATTTTATCATACATCTTTCAATCTCAGATTTATATGATTCTATATTTGTGATAATAAATCATATTATTAAGATGGCAGATTTTGTACCATGTACAAAATCTATCATAGGTAAAAAAAAAAAAAAAAAAAAAAAAAAAAAATAGCTAAGTTTTTTTTGACAATATCTATTACTATCATGGATTGTTCAAGGATATTATATCAAATAAGAAGACTCAATTTATATCAAGATTTTGGAGAACTCTTTTTAAGATTTTAAAGGTGGATATAAAGCTCTCTTTAGCTTTTTATCTTCAAATTGATAAAAAAATGAAATAAATAAATGAAGTTTTAGAGTTGTATTTGAGGTATACCATCAATTATCATCAAATAATTGATATTTTTTTTACCATTAGCAGAATTTGCATACAATAATTCAACACATTCTTTTATTTAATAAACACCTTTTTTATCCAATTATGGTTATCATCTATAATTTGATACTTTTAACTTTTTGAAAGTTGATAATCCTATAATACAAGATTTGGAAAATTGTTTATCAAAGCTATATACAACAATGAAGGCATAGTTAAAGAAAGTCAAGAATAACAAAAGATGAGTGCAGAAACCTATCACAAAGAACAACCACAATTCAATGTAAATGACAAGATATGGCTATTTCATTGAAATATCAAGACTACTCGTCCTTGTCACAAGTTGGACTATTGTAGACTTAGACCTTTCTCTATTAGTAAACAAGTCAATCCTATTGCTTATCAATTATATCTACAGAAGCATATAAAGATTCATTTCATATTCTATGTATCTTTTCTTGAGCCATATAAGACAATAAATATTTCGAGAAGAAGACAAATGTGACTTCCTCCACAATCAATAATCAATAATTCGAGGTAAAAGAAGTCTTAGATTTAAGGTGGCACCAAAATAGCTAAGCATATCTTGTTCATTGGTGCAAATATGATATCAATGAATATATATGAAACTAGAAAAGAATCTTGCAAATGCAATAAAAAAGATTGAGATTTTTTATCAACAACATCTATCAAAATCAAGATAAAGAATAGCAAATCTTTGCTATAAAAGAAATAAGATCCAAGAAAGATAGCATTCTACCTTCTACTTTTGTTTGTAACTTTTGTATATTTGTCATGCTAATGAGATGGAGAACCAACAACCATCAAATTCAATTCAAAAGCTATTACTTATTGACTTACCAAATAAGACATTATAATTGTTACAATCTATAAGATAATGTAATAAAAATGAAGTTCCTCAAGAATGACATATCCTTCCTTGAATAAATGATGAAATACAATGTGTTTGATATCACTACCTTATAAGAAACTTTCAATGTTTGGTAAATCATTATGTTTGGCAAAATAATGTCACACATATATATACTTAATCTAATATTTATCTAAATGATTACGTATAAGAAAATAAAAATAAATTTATTTCATTATATTTTCTAGAAATGCTTCCTAAAAGCCTCATAGATGCTATTTTGATTTTATATGTCATTATAGTTGATTGACAGGTTACAAACTTGGTCAACAACTTAACTATGTGCTCGTAGCTTATGCAACAAGTTAACTATATGGCATACAATTAAAAAAATTGTCTTACAAGTTAAGATATGTGTCTTATAAAGTCAACATATTTTGGAGGTCTCACAGAACATCGCCATGTAGCTCATAATTAAGAGTATATATGGATGCAAGAGTAAAGCCTTCTTGACTCTTATCAATGCCTTTCTAGTTCTAAGTCTTGTTTCAAGACTTTCTAATCTTTTTGTCTTTTGCGATAGCAATTCTAGTTCAATATACTACCTTCTTAAGTGATTTATAAGTCTTTTTAAGAAATACAAGAGTGGATGTGATGGTGTCATGATGTAACATGACTAATAGATAAAAGAGTGTGGAAATTATTATAATGTACGAGATCTTAGTTCAAAGTATTAGAAAAAATTATCTTAAAAATATAGTTAATAGTAAAAAGGATAATAAAATTAAAAATAATCAATACAACTTTTTAAAAAGGTGACTTCTATTTACTTTGTAGGACCATAAATAAGGCAAAATAAAGTAGATTGGAAAAATTAATATTGTAGTCATCTTAAGAAAGAAGTTAAGAGTACATTCTAGCAAAATTTACTAAGAAAAACTAGGTATTGATACCCAGAGAGGGCAGGTTATGAACCAAGGACAAAATCAGACCCTGAGGCAAAAAACCAAGTCTTGACGACGACTTTGGAGTTCTTTTGCAAATCGAAGAGTGGCATTTAATAGCACACTAGATAAGATTTCTATAAGCATTAATTTAAGATGATTTGTAGTTTTTATGACTTTGTGAGAGCTTTACAAAGTCAAGATTGTTTTTGGATGACTTGGCGATTGTGAAATAAAATAGGATTTATGTTTCTAGTGATTTAAAGAATTTTGTAATAGATCTATAAGTGAAATTTTGTGGATTAATGGTCATAGGTGTGCTTAATATGTATTATGAATCTTAGCTCGATCTAATAGATGAATTAAGGATTATTGAGGTTTAAGTGAGTCAAGGTCTCAAGAAGTAGAATTTTAGGTCCAATGACGGTTTTTAAGATTTCTTGCAATTTATGTGAGAGAATATTAGATTTTTTTTTTATGTGTATGAGACAATTGACATCAATCAAATGGTGAAAAGAAGAAATATTTGCTCTAGGAGATTTGCATCAAGATTAGAAAAGGAGGCTAGCCATTACCCGAGCACGTTTTTGAGATTAACATCTATTTGGTACTATCGATTCTTTTCAAAAATTTTGATCTTATTTTCAACTTAATTTTTAAGAATTGAGAAAAAATTGAGTTAAGATCAACAGTTCATTCATTAGAAATTGACGTTTAATTCTAATCTAGAAATTACTAGGATTTGCTTAGGATTTGATTTAGAATAAAGGTTTATTTAGGATTTGATTTAAGGTTAGAATTTGGTTAGGATTTGGTTTAAGTTTAAAGATTAAAATTAGGATTTAGTTAGGATTTGATTAAGGATTAAGATTTGATTAGGAATTGATTAGAATTTGATTTATGATAAGGATTTGGTTTAGAATTTGAGATTTGGTTAAGATTTGATTTAGGATTAGGGTTAAAGATTTGGTCAGTATTTGATTAAGGGTTTAAGATTTAGTTTAGGATTTAAGGTATAGTTTGGAGTTTAAGGTTTGGTTAAGGTTTGATCAAGATTTTATTTAAGATTTAGTATTTTATTTAGTATTTAAAGTTAGATTAAGATTTAATCAAGATTTATTTTAGAATTAAGAGTTTTATTAGAGTTTATTTAAAATTTAAGATTTAGTTTATTTATGCCTCAAAGTTTAAATGAAGTTAGATTTCAACTAGGATTAAATTAAGAATGAAATTGAGATAGATTTGAGATATGTTTGTAATCATTCTACTATTTCATTAAGATTTCTTATTGTTTCATTGGAATTCTTTTGGAGATTTTTTGAATCTGAATAAAGCTTGTTTGGCATTGTTAGTATTTTAAAAGAATTCGAATATTTTTGTGGTAATTTCTATTCTACCTTCCACAGTCAGGTGTCCAAAGTATTTTCAAGCAAGACTTCACGTATAACGACAAGGGCTACTCACATATAAGTCAGTAATTACTTATATAAATAGGTAGAAGTAAATAGAAGTAGATAAAATTAAGTTGATTCCATGATATCTTCTACAAAACCTTCTTAGAATCTTCATAGACGCTGCTTTGACTTTATAGGTGTCTTTAATTGACCTTTTGGATTAGAAACATAGTCAACAAGTTGATCATATGCCACACATGTTGTTGGCTTGAAGACTAAGCTAATTATATGGCCCACACATAATAAAACTTACCTTGTAAGTCAA